GAGATGCCCTAGGAGGATTGGGGGAAAACCCAAAGTCCTCGCTGCCTGGGCCTAAGGGTGATTTCCCTTGCTGGGAGACACTTCTGGGAGACCCACACCCCACTTCACTTGGAGTGGGGCCCATGGAATTCTTACGCTGCGCGGCCTGGCCTTCTGGAATTGTTTCTCCAGGGCCTTCTGGCGATGCACCACCATCCTTTCCTCGGCCTTAGAGGCCATCCCTGCTTTTGGATGATTCTCCCTGGGGGAAGCGCCCACCCCAACACCCTTGGCCACTGGATTGGGCCTATTTCGCTTGCTGAAGAGGCTAGATAAGACAGAAAACTGCAAACGAAATACTAAGAGGCTAAAAACGAAGAAATAAAATAAAAGGAGCTACACTATCTCAAGGATTAGGGGTCCAGCTTGATGCCCAAGAACTGGAGCCCCAGAAAAAATGTCCTATAGGGTGACTGAGTTTTTTGAAACTGAGCCTCTGAGGCAACCAAGAGGCGGAGCTACAATCAATTTTAAAACTCAGTTCCTTGGGCAGCAAGCTGAAGTTAACCTGTGCTTGGACACTCCAAGCAGCGCCTAGGAGAAAAATTAGATCCCAAGAGTAGGCAGATCTAGGCCACAAAGGTAGACATGGCCACAAGCAACTTCTTTAAAACATTATAATAAACTGGAAAATACAAACATTTAAGTATATAAACTATCGGCAATACGAACAGTGAGTAGGACCAACTAGGTAATATATTATATAAAATTAATCTTTAAAATATAATTTCCATTCTCCTTCCAAATAAATGATACCAAAAGATTGTTACTTGTTTTTTCCTCCCTTTTCTTTTTACACAAAATGCTCCTTTCAGATACAGAATATACATGCTCGCTCTCTCCCTCACACACACATGAATATTGCTTGTATCCTCACTTTCTCAAAAATGGGAAGTGAAAAGGGGTATTGAAATCAAGTGAGGGAATGAGAATAGACATATAAGAGTGAGACAAAAATTGGGTAATCAAGGAAATGCCCTCTCTTTTTCCACCTACAATAAAACATCTTATTTTCCCTATACCTAGCACACTTGAAAAAACAATGGTTTTTCACCCATTTTATAAAGGTAGAACAAAAAACTTTAAAAACAACAATGAAATAACTCAGGAACCTCCTGTATTTTTATTCTCTATGTAAAATTCTCCCTCCCTCCCTCCCTCCTTCCCTCTGTGTGTGTGTGTGTGTGTGTGTGTGTGTGTGTTGTCTGTCTGTCTCTCTCACTCACTCTCACCATAATGAGAAAAACATGGGCTCTGCATGGGTACAAATGTTGGAGGGATGTTGGGTTAATGAATGAGGAAATCAGAGAGAAGTGTTGATGGAGAGACAATTTAGGCAGGAGATATACAAAAAAAGCAGAAAATATAAAACAGAAAAAATTGACAAGACTATCAGAGCTCTAAAGTTAAGAAAAAGGTGCTAAGGGATAGTAGCAGTGGCAGAAAATGCATTTTCCAGAAATTGTTATGCACATCTTGACTGGTGTCTGTCTGTTTAGTTTAGAATCTGCCTTACTCCAGAATAACTTTAGGAGGATTACACTTAAAATAGAAAACTAATAAAAAAACAACCTAAGAGTCCACACAAAGTATGCAAGGCAGAGTTCCATAATACCCTATCCCAAGGCGTGGGAAATTAAAGATTTTTGGAATATAGTCAGATGGAAGTTACATGGATCTCAGGGGGATATCTTTCTAGAATGCAGGAGGCATTTTGATATCAATATATGGCATTGTAATGGTATGTGGGAAAGACCTTAGGAAACAAGAGAACAGTTGGTTAAAAGACAGGATAGCCTGCAGCTGGATAGTGAGCAGGGCAAGAGTGTCAGAAAATACCTTAGCTATTTTTTTGAGCTATAAAAGAGATCCATGGGGTGGGGGATAATTGTACTTTCACACTTGCAAGATTGATGTCAGCCTTGCAGGGTAAACCAAATGAACTAATTGTACTTTAGTTTAAAGTTATACTGACATAATTTCACATGTCTGAAAGTGTCCATATTTTCTTGGAAAAAATAAAGGGTAACCTTAAAAAAGGGCAAATCTGAAAAAGGTTCATATGGAAAAAATATTGTGTTTATAACTCTGTTTTACAAAAGAAACTTCAAGAGCAAAATGAACAAACAAACAAATAAATGTAAAAATCAGCTTTCTGAAATAAGAATCGTCCTTTATAATAAGAAGTGTATGGTCATTATAGGTATAGGTCAACTAATAAATAATAAGTTATAGCAATAGCAGTTAGACTTATATACTGTTTCACAGGGCTTTCAGCCCTCTCTAAGCCGTTTACAGAGTCAGCATATTGCCCCCAACAACAATCCGGGTCCTCATTTTACCCACCTCGGAAGGTTGGAAGACTGAGTCAACCCTGAGCCGGTGAGATTTGAACAGCCGAACTGCAGAACTGCAATCAGCTGAAGTAGCTTGCAGTGCTGCATTTAACCACTGCGCCACCTCGGCTCAGTTATAAAGGAAACTTAGTGGATTTTATAATTTGTAACCCATCATCAAATCATCCTTCAATTTATTTGGTTCAGTCTCCTTTCCCTTCAACTGTCCC